GGGGCTTCGCGCATGCGCTCAAGGCGAAGGACAAGAATGTGATTCCGATCAACGGCATGACTGGGGTAGGAAAGTCCACCACAATCAATATCTTGAGAGACGTTCCGCTGGAGATAAAGGGGAACAAAGTGCGTCTGAAGGGAACGGCCCTCTCCGCTGCCGTCGCAGACAACCAGTCCATGTTGGGCGCGAGCATCGACTTCCGCAACCAGCACTGGGAGGTCGACGAGGACTCCTCGGATGCGGGCAGCTTGCATAGCTCTGTGCCCAACTCGGCCAAGAAACGACGTCTGCACCTCAGTTTTGGCGACGAGAAAGTCGTGCTCCACCTCAAGCTTGGTCCCGAAGGGCAGGTCATGGAGGCCTCGGTCTTCTCAGCCGACAACACATCGGCCAGCCACGTAACAACGTTGAAGCCGACCGAAGTAGACGAGATCAGCGTCTACTACAACGGCGCCGCGCGCATCGGCCACTGCAGCGCCACTTCTGAGACCACCTTCGTTCAGCTGTTCAATTACAGCGTTTCGTCCACTCTGATGGACCTTGGCGGTATGCTAGAAAACCGCGACAGTGACATCGGCTTGGCTTCGCAATTCTCTGCGGACCTTGCCATCGAGTATGCGAAGTCTGTGCCGAAGATACTTCTTGTCCTCAACTTTGACATGCTTCTAAACAGAGCTTTCCACAATGACTTGGTGCTGTCGTTGCGCGGGGTCCGTCAGCTATATCCAACTGCTCTCGATCCGAATCACCCGCACAACGGCCGCCTCATCCTCCTTGTCGTGGCTCCGCACCTGCCCAGAAACCAGATGAATGTGCGCAACATCCGCCACCAGCTGCAGCGCCAGGTGGATGCTGCGATCGAGAAGATAACAAAGACGGACGTGCCGCAGCAGCGGCGCCTACACCAGTTAGACCGGACAATTTTTGAGGCCTTGCTGAATACTTGTCCTGCCGGGCTGACGGGATCCATAGATGAGGACTCGAAGGAGACACGCTGCATGTTCGTCAAGCTGCACGACCTTGAGTCCTTCAGGGACGATGCCAAAGCGAAAATCTTGGAACCGCCGAGTCAGGCAGAAAGTTTCACCGACAACGGCCTCAAGGGTGCATATTGCAAAGCCATGCGCTCTGACGAGCACGAGCGGGAGCATGGGCACAACATCTCTGAGTACGCCTCCAGCTCCGCGGATAGCCTCAGTTCGGTCCTCAAGCTCAAAGACAGGATGGATGACCTTTCTGCTCAGTCGGAGAAGCTGGCGGCAAGGGCTGAACAAGTAGCTGCACAAAGTGTGCGTGTGGAGAAGGACCTGAAAGACCTGGAGGAGAAGCGAGCCAAGGTCGAACTCGATGGGGTCTCCGGCATCGACAGCCACCTTCCGCCACTCGATTGTGAAGTCAGGCGCCGGAATGAGCTCGAGACGGAGGTAAAAAAGTACGAGAAGGAGATCGCCGATTTGAGCCAGGAGAAGCGCGATTTGGAGGGAGAGGTGTCATCCTTAGAGAGGCAGATCCAGTCGGAGGAAGCGACTAAGCGTAACAAGCAGGGCGAGGTGGACGGGCTCTCAGGTGGCTATGTGAAGGACACCATCTACAGCTTCAAGGCTCAAACAGGGGATACATGGACGGTTGGCAAGTACCTCGATGACGCGGATGAAAAGGCCGGGGCACCTAAGCACAATCATGTAAACAGCAGCCAGCCACGCATTTTTTTTGGGGGATGGGCAGGATTAGTCAATTACATTATGACGGCAAATCATCATGCTACTGGGTTTTCCCATTCAGGCCTTCGAGGAGTGCAGGGCCGTTGACTATGACGATCCTGAGCAGTGGAAGAGAACTGGCACCTGCGTGATCGGTACAGACAAGGACGATGGGTGCTCCACACTGATAAAGCAAGCACACGTCAAATGCCTGTACCCGATCAAGGACACTGAGACCTTTCAGAAGTTCGTCGGCAAGAACCTGAGCGAATTCACTGAGTTCTTTTCGGCCGGGACCGGAGTTAAGAAGGTTTCGGCCACGACCGGTAACAGCGCACAGTCGGAGCTCATCGCCGGCGCAGCGAAACATCACACCGGCTCTGCCATCAAGCAGATCTTGACAGATGTGGCCGAATTCCCTGACAGCTTGATTGACGAGGAGAGCTATCAGGTTGCGGAGTGGAGCTGGGACGGGAAAACCAAGACCTGGACGGTTCTTTTGCACCCAGCCGGTCCGGCCGGCAGCACTTACCGGAACTGCGAGATCGATGCTTGGAGGTGTCAGCTTGTCAAGGTGGGGCTGAAAAATGCGACCGGTGAGCAGCGCGGAGAGGCAGTCCTTCGTTTTGAGTTCGACTATGGTAAGGCATCGAGAACTCAGCTGTATGGCTTCATCACGAGGTTGACGGGCGACCTAGCTGAAGAATCCTCCACTTCACGATCTCGGGGAATAGCCGATTCCAGCTCGGCGTGGCTCAATGGGAGTGGCCCGTACTATGACATGCAGACAGTCTCGGCCGAAGAGCAGGAGACGTGGCACCCCAAGGAGAAGGAAATTAGAGACACACTCCTTCAGAAGATTGACAAGGCGAAAGAGCGCACCGACTCCGAGCTGCAAAAGGAACTGGTGGATTCGGCCCGCGCAGCAGAGGCTGAGCTGCAGAAGCCAGCTTATCTGAAGTGGACCACCAAACTCCCGTGCGAAGTCGCACACCGCAGCCAGATCAACAACACTAAAGCTGAAATCACCAGGCTCGACATAGAAATAAACAGCTGGAAGGACGAACTGAAGCTCAAGAAGGAGTCGTTGTCGCAGACAGAGGAGGACCTTAAGCAGTCGCAGAAACAACTCACGGACTGGAAGGATGCGCTGGATGATGCACGGAGACAGCATGAGACAAGCCAGTCCCAGCGCTTCAAATTGCTCATGAATGACCTGAACAACAAACTGCAGAAGTTGGAACAGAAGAAGTTGAGCTGCGCCCAGAGGATGTGGAACTGCAACTGCGAGAAAGAAAAGCTGCGCCGGGACACTACACAAGCCCGACGGGATCTTCGCGACCTGGCGCTGGTCTTGGACTGCCAGTTTCCCAACTTTCAAGAGTTTCTCGATTTTGCCAAGCGCAGGCTTGAGGACCGCAAAGACGCAGCCATCGGGGACGACACCACTGCGACCTCGCTCTCGACCTTGGGGCAGTACACTGAGAAGGAGCTCCGGAGATTCTTGGAGATCTTCGAGAGGCAGGGTGAGAGGGTCAAAAAGATTGCACAAGAGTTTTTGCTGGAGTACGCTCAGCATCTCCCCCAGAGCAACAGCACGGACGACGGTGCGGGCAACAGTCTGGACATTGCGACTGCCGTGGGCTACCAGGAAGGCAGCCTCACCAAAACCCTTCAGCTACCTTGGCTCGAGGACTTGGACTTTGAGGACCCTGCAGAGCCCACACCGGCAGCTGGTTCAGGAGAGTCCAGTGCCGAAGAAGGCGGGGCCGGGGCACGGCTTGAAGTTGATTTGTACGTGTAACGCACGCAGTCTTCTCTCATAGCATGGCAACATAAGACATAAGCGATCATCCATCCCTTGCGCAGCACTCTTTCGCAACATTCTCAGGCCAGTGCCGCAGGTGCTCAGGGCATGTCGCTGTGACACAGGGAGCATCTCTGCCCAGGAACGGGTTTAGAGTCATGGGAGTGCAGAAAATTGGCCAGCAGTGCCACAGACTTGACTCCACAGCCCCAAAGAATCGGATTTGGAAGTGTGAGGTGCTGCAAGCGCTGGCTCTGGGATCGGTGAGGGCTCCGAGGACCACCAGGCCAACTTCAGCGAGAACCCCGAAGATGCCGAAAAGAGCGACCAGACGAAGGGCAGTGCAACCAGCCCAGCAGGCGTGGGGGGAGGGCGGCGGGATGGAGGGAGACTATCTTGTGGTGAAATCGCTGAATATTCAAGCCGAAGTCTTGAAACACTCATAGTGGCAGCTACTGTACGTTGTACATCTGGCTACAGAATCTCCAAACAAAGGTGCCAGCTCGGAGCCAGAAGAGTGGCGGCCCATGCGTCGATTCTGGCAACGCTTGGGGTTCCAAACGCAGTCTGCCTCAGCGCATGTTAATGCTTGAGCGTGTGCCCTTTGGCTAAGGGATGCTAAGGGCGTTTGGTGCTTTTGTCATGAAGAGCGGCCACATGTATGGAGATTGAGATGGATGGGTTCTGATTTCAGGTCCAGGGATGCACCGCTTGCACGGGCTTCCAGCCAGACTCGCGTTCCGTTGTTGATTACGCCTGAGGTTGCAGCAGGTGGAGCTCCGCGGGATCACGTGAAGTCCACCAGATGGATTTCCTGAGCAGCGCTGCAGGCTTGCCACAGACGCTCCTGCCGTCGACCATCGTGCAGCATGTGGTTTGAAGGGCGACGTCTGTGCAGGCCAAACGTCGACAGTCCCCCAGCTGACTGGATGAGCAATGCCAAAAGGCCATAGGATGTCTCGGAATGTGGGTCCACCGGTTACAGGTATGGTCAGTATTAGCTTAAGCTCCATAGGCTAGTAGGGAAGCAGTTGCTCATTTATTCAAGCCCGCGTCTCTTCTTGCGAATTCATGCATTGCGAAGGGCAACCCCGAGCCCTGCCCAGACTGCTTGGGTCTGGCGGGCTGTGCGTTGCCATGTGCATAGAGAGTCTGTGCAGGCAGTCTCCCAGACCCTGGGTCCTAGTTTCCTTGATCCTCCCACAAAGTGGAGGTGTTAGACGTTTCAAAATCCGCAAACTGCCTGCAAACAACTCCAGTTCTCCAAGGGGTGGTCCTTCTGTTGTGCCAAGGGGAGCTCGAAGCAATTGAGCTACCGTAGGCTACTGTAGCCACTCTTGGCATGTTGCACCATTGCACCTGCGAGTGGTTGTCGGAGCTGCTGATCTAGCAAGCCATCGTGTGTCTAACCTATCGCCGCAGCAGATGGCGCTGCCGCTGCAGAATTTTGCAATCAAGCAAGCACAAAGCCAGCTGCCAAGACTGCGCCCATGAGCCGTCGTACGAGGCTCGACCAGATCTGTTTCAGTATTTCTGAGATTGTCAGCGATGCAACCTTGCAGGACTCCGTTGCCAACGCCTCTTCCGTGGTGCGGTGTCTGCATCGTCTTCTACGTGATTGCCACTTGGGCATGGCATGTGGATGACGAGAAGGTCTTTGGTCGGAATCTACGGATTGCGTCAAGAGACGATGTATCGGCAATGATGACTGCGTCTACGAGTACATCGACTTGCTTGCCAGAAGAAGGAACGAGTGACGAAGGGAAAAAGCGGCTGGTGGAGATCAACTGTCAACATGTGAGGGATGCTAAAGGCCTTGATGTTCTGAGTGCCCCTGCTGCTGACAGTGCCAGCTTTCAGAGACGATACGCCCAGGCTGAATACCTGTGTCGCAGTGCCGAGAGCGACGCCCAAAACGCGAGTCATCTATCTGCTGCAGCTGCTTCAGCCACCTCAGCGTGGAATGAACTGACAGGCGGCCGGGAATGCTGCAACATTCCAACCGCACCTCACTGCAGCAGCGACTTCGGTACACGGCTGCTTCGCTTCATGATTGTCTTGTCAATTCTGGTGGTCGCTTTCTTTCCCTTGCTCCTTGTTGGCCCGGTTGTCTTTGCTCCAAGTCTCTGGCGCACAAAGCCTACCACATACTCACACCAACGCCAACGTCCACGGAAACCTTTCAACAGAGGAGGCCCGAAATCGCCAGACCAGCATCTGAAGGAGGAACTTCGCTTGATGTGGATGGCCCATTTCAGAGGCATGCCAAATCCCACGGTGAGCTGCCAGGAGAACAGCAACTTCCAGGGCATGGCACTGTCCACAGTGATCCGCGAAGAAATTCTGAAGGATTTAGCATCCCTTCAGGCAGGCTTCGGATTCCAGAAGGATTCCGTGAAAATCCAGCTGTCAGAGATCATGGATCAGCTGGACTCCTACCGCAAAATGTCTGCTTTGCAGATGTATGAGGACAACTTCTCCCTTGATGCCATCATGGTTGCCCACCTCTGTAGAGCCGTGGACAGACTGCATAAGGAGAAGTGCTGTGGATTTTCCTGCTGGCTCGAGAAAGCCTGGCCCGATGACAAGCCCGGTGTGCTGGGCAACTCTGGCAGCTCAGACAGGCTCCATGACCTGAAAAGGAAACTCAAGGAGTTGGTTGTGATGCAACTTGTCTGGGGAGAAGCTGGCAATGATCGATTTATGCCTGAGTGGATATACTTCATGTCCTCATTGATTCTCTTTTCTTGCGAGGGTCCGGCCATTCCTGATGTTGGAGAGGGAGGCTTTCTCACAAGAGCAGTGCAGCCAATGTACGAGGTCATTTTCGATGCGCAGTTTGAAGCGGTGGATCAACCGCGGAGGGGCTTCAAGGAGTTCTACCCTGAAGACTGCATCAACTATGACGATATTGCAGAACTGTTTCAAGACCCTGTTCGATTAAAGCAGGCGCTGCCGCAAGTGTGGAGGGCTGCACCAGCAGAGCGGTACGCCGACTACCTGGAGATTGACTTGAAGGAAGCCATGAAGAGCGTGAAGACTCACAGGGAGCTGCACTCTCTTTGGGCCGTCTTCGCTTCTACCAATCGGGTCTGGTTCTTGCTGTCCACCATGTACATGCTGTCAGAGTGGACCGTGTTGGATGGCACTGAACGACCGGATACGCCCCTGGGCGCAGCATCGATGAGATTCGCAGCGCTGGGCCTTTGGGTCTCGATCTTTGGTCTTCTTCGTGCCTGCAGCCGTTGGTTTGTCACCGGTGCTGCCATTCGGTCTCCCGGTCGCTTTTCGTTGAGCCTCTTCTTGTGGCTCCTCCCAGGAGGGAGCTTCTTCGTCTTTCGCCTCGGAATCTGGCAGTCAAGCTCTGCAAAGACCGCAGTGGCTGCTGTGCATCTGGCTCTCAGTGCCTTGGGTGCTGCCCGGATCCTGGCACCTTCAAGCGGTCGCTGGCGAGCCACGCAGAGAACGTGGAAGCAGCTGGTGGGCCGGTGGCTCTTTTGGCTGATTCTGCTGACGGTGATGTTCATGACGAACCTTTCCTTCGTCAGCAGTCTGGAGCGAGCCATCACGAGTCTAGGCATCAGCCGCCCTGGCGATCAGACCTGGCATGAGATCCAGATGATGTCTTTCAGTCCAGGACGGGGTTTGAAACGTTTGGATAGAAGTGGCAATGACATTGCCCGAAAAAAAGAGTCGAAGCAAGGTTGGATTGCAACATATTGCAACGACAAGCAAACTCAACAATCAAGACACATCTTCCAATCCCTGAAGGCTGGAATCGAGATGTGATTCTCTGGCTTGCCATCCAAAGCACGGGTCTGGTTTTTTACGCCTGCAGTTTCCAGTTCTACTTCAGCTTTGGCTCGTTCCTTCTCAGGCAGCTTCTACTTCTTCACCAGCACGGCCACCGTGCTGTGACGGAGGACACCATTTCCCAAATCCCAGCAAACCTCGAGAAGTGTTTGACCAAAGCGGGGATTGGCGATCCGACTGTGGCTGCGCGAGAAATATGGAATCAAATCGTGGAGCAGTTTGTTGAGGAAGATGTGCTGAGCGAAGCCCAGTCGCTCGAACTGAAGTTCTCCGGAGATGAACGGTGCACGGTTTGTATTTTAAGAACGGCTTTGAGAGGTGTTGTCTTAGCGTAAATAATAAATAAAGGCTGCTCCTTCTGGCATCGTTTGGGATGTTTTGCTGGCAGGCCAAAGATTTTCAATCCATCGTGTCATCAGCGCTGTTCCCGATTGAACTTGCCCAGCTCGGTGATCAGGAGGATCGTGTCTTTGGCTCAGAACCTCTCGCACCCGGCCTTGCCTCAGCCGGTCCATCCTCTGTTTCGCCCTGCTCTGAGCGTCCTGATCCCGCACTACGGCGAAGATATCCGCACGACCTGGGAGGAGCTGTTGAGGGAAGATCCGAATCGTGGCAGTGTGCTGTGCATGGAGTGGCTCTACCGGCAGCACCCAAGTGAGTTCGACAATTTCAAGCTTCGTACAAAATGCGGCCAGCATTTGCGGGCCAATGATTGGCGCAGCTATAGTGCCGACGACCGGGAGCAGATTCGTGACTGGGCCTCCCTGCGTTCCCAAACTCTCTGGCGCACGGTAGATGGCCTAAGCAAGTGTGTTCAAGCTATGGACAGCTACAGCGACTGTCCCAACTCCGAAGAAAAAAGGAGTGGCTTAGCAGCCTTAGCAGCTGCTCTGTCTTTGCGGACAGACAACGGCTTCACCGTGGTGCTTGCCATTCAGAAGTATTCCACGTTTGAGCAGGGCAGCTCTGAACTTATGGATGTAGAGCGGATGTTTGAAAAGTACGGGCGGCTTTTGAAGGTAGCCTACATTGATTCAGAGCTCTCACCTCAGGAAGGTGAACAACTTGGAGGCTATCAGACACGGCGCTACTACAGCTGCCTGATCGATTCTGACTGCAGGGTTGATGACGCTACTGGTAAGCGCGAGCCTCGCTACAAAGTGTTGCTTCCAGGCTTTCCCATCCTCGGCAACGGCAAAGGCGACAACCAGAACACAGCCCTTCCCTATTGCTGGGGGCCCCTCCTCCAGACTATCGATGCCAACCAAGGTGCATACCTTGAGCAGCTGCACTTTGTCCTGTTTGCCATGGGCGAGTTCCGCCAGGGTGACGGCTTTGCGCCCTTGATCCTAGGCTTTCCTGAGTACATCACCAGCAGTATTGGCGCACCTGGCGAGTTTGCGGCTGGTGCAGAGTCTGTCTTCGGCACGGACCAGCAGCACACCCTGAACGCGTTGGGGGTAAGAATGCACTATGGACATCCTGACATTATGAATAAAAACTACATGAACCAGCAGGGCGGTGTGTCGAAGGCAACGAAGCACACCAACCTCTCCGAGGACATTTTTGCCGGCACCGACTTCACGTTGAGAGGCGAAGGTCGTGAGATCCGCCATGTTGAGTGGATGAAGCTTTTGAAGGGCCGCGACCTGGTGAGCAAAATCGTTTGTCGGCCCTGTAGGCTTTCTAGCTGTCTAGCAACATCAAAGTGGCGCCTGGTTTCATTATTTCGTTAGGGTGCCCGGTGCTCGAGTGAGTTCTCATGATAAGGTGACTTGGGATTCAATTCCATCATGTTCGTCTTCACAAAGCTGTCCAAGGGAACGGCGGAGCAACTGACCTCCAGGCAAAACCAGAGATTGGGAGACGAAATGGGCCTCCCCGAGTGCCTGGCATTTTTCTCAGCGCATTCCGGCTTTTATCTCGGCAACTATCTGGTCTCCATCTCTGCGCCCATGCTCGTGTACGTGAGTTTGCTTGCTTTGCTGTTTGACGACCAGGGTCACGAAGAGCCTGTGCAAATCGTGGCGACGATGCTACGCCCATACTCCTGGCTCCTTTGTGTGGTCATTGTGTGCCAGAGCCTCCCCCTCTTGCAGCAGATGTGGTTCAGCGAGGGAGCGTGCAAAGCATTTGTTGGCTGGATTCTGCAACAGTTTACATGCGCTCCCATCTTCGAGATCTTCAAGAGCAAGCTCATTGGATATCACATCATGCAAGCGATTTCTTATGGAGGCGCCGCGTACATGCAAGGAGGACGTGGTCCGCCCACAATTCGCCAGCCCTTTGTCGATCTGTACAAGCTTTATGCAAAAATTGCCTTGTATGACGGAGTCAAGCTACTCGTTGGCGTGATGGTTCTTTGCTCTGCAGGCCTCCGTCTGGGCTTCAGCTGTCACGCGGCCTTGGCACTTACTTACGGCTCATGGCTGCTTGCACCCTTCATCTTCAATCCTCTAATGTTCAGTTGGAAGCACATCAGGAAAGACTGGAACACGTGGTCTCAGTTCTTCCCGTATGACTGGGTTGAGTGGTATGAAAAAGGTCTCCCTTCGCGGCTTCGCGCGTCCCCTTTGTGGTGCCTCGGCTGGGCCTTTACTCTGGCGCCACTCTATGGGGTTGCCATGCAGAAGGTTCACTTCGTGACCACGATCTATGAAGATCCACTTTCCTCTGCCATGAGCATGCTGATGGTTGCGACTCCACCTTGCATGTTGTCCTTGATCGGCTCTCTTGCGGCGAAGCAGGAACTGGAGGAGGCCCTGAAACCATTTCCGTGTTTGCTGGTGGTCGTCACAGTCATCTTGGAGAGTCTTGCGGGTCTGAACCAGCTTATGCGTCTGGGTTTATGGAGACCTTTCTGGGCCGGCCTTCTTTACAAGCTTCTGACGGTGGAGGTCATCCTGGAAGTGTTTGAATGTGTTCAGGTGTGGCGCAAGGCGAGGGAAACTCAGAACACCATCCGCCTAGCTACACCGTGGCTCTGCTACCACCGCATGTCTCGGGACCTCATCGTTTCTTTCGTCCTCCTCTCCGTGCTGACTCTTTGGGCACTGGTTGAGAACACCATCAGCCGATGTTTTGGTTGTTGGCTTCACGACTTGCTGATGTTTCGCAGCCCGTCCTTGCAGCGAAAGGCCGGGCTGCTGCTGCATTGGCCGGCGCTCTGTCGTCTTTGTTATCATGGTGGTGCTTGCGCTGAGCGTGAAGAGTCATTGAAGCGACATGATCAGTACATGTTCTTGACTTGCCACTGGAGGCAGCGGAGGTTGCAGCTCCAGCATGACCGTCCGACGCCCGGTCGCTTGAAGAGGAAGTGCAGAGAGTGCAGTCAGCAGCCTCGAAAGCATCCAAAATTGGGGGTGCGCTGGTGCCCGCGATTCATCTAGGTACCAGGCTTGGAAATCAAGAAACCCCGGAACGTCGATTCTTGAAGGTGCCCTCCCCTTTTCCCATGTTGATCTTGGTTGCCAGCTTTGCTGAGGCCAGAGGTCGTGAGATTCTCACAGGCAGTGACTTTCGAGGCATGCATGTGCAAGTGATTGATGGCCCGCAGAACGTCTTCGTACATCCTCGTCACACAGTTCAATGCATGTACTCATCTTAGCCCCAAGGAGCTTTTGTTTGGAATTTCGAAGGTGCAGGATGCTTCGACAGATGAGCCATTCCACGTGCTTAGGCTGGCTGCTGGAACACAAAGTTCGGGCGAATTAGATATTTAGTCGAGGCCACTTGCACAACCCTTCAGCTACAAAGAGAGTTGCTGAAACACAGCTGAATCGCCATTGCAAGCAAATGACAACCAGTGGCTTCGTTGTAATCCAGTTTTGTAGGTGCCAGCCTTGCAAGCCAGCCGCTTGGGTAGGCCAATTGTGAGGTAGCACTGCGGTCGGCTGAGCAGAGCCACAGCTGAACGGCAACATCGGAATTCGAGACATCATCGACTCACAACGTTTCACCAGAAAGCGATTGTGGGGGAGCCTTCGGCCTGCTCGCGGCGTTTTCCGAAGGCGATATGCATTGTTGGCTTTAAATCAACACTGTGGGGATGTTCAAGAGGAACAGTCTGCTGGAAGCAAAACTCACCTGAGATTGTTTGGTGTCGCAAATGTGTGGCTCAAAGTGGAACTTGGCAACACAACAGAAGCATGTAGTTGTATCTCCGACATCACAAAACATAAGAGTTTCGGTGCAGTTGCTCTACAGACCATGACCTCATGTGCGTGATTCCAGTCTGCCCCTGCCATGCAGGACGAACAGTTTTTTGTGCCGCTTCTTTGGACCCCTCTCTGTCTCGACACACGTCTCCCTCTCTCTCTCTCTCTCATTTTGCCGCCTGCCAGCCTGGCTGGCTGGCTGGCTGTCTCTACATGGTGTCGCTTTCTGGCTCCCATCTCTCTCATGGGCTCTCTGCTCTCCCACATCCCTAACCTGTTTCCCCCCCGAATCTGCTCTCTGTGTTGCTCTCACTCAGTCTTCTGCCTCTGAGTAGCCTTTCTCAAATTTATTGGCATCGAGCAGCTCCAGGAGAAGATGCGACTGCTGAAAGACGACTCCACTTCCTACATGCTCGCGACCTTGCGTCGAGTTCGGTGAAGAACTTTCATGCTGTTCGTGCATGTTCGTGCAACTCAAGGCCCGTAGCCACTGACCTCAGCGATGACGGGACCCCTTCGTGCTCCGAGAACAATCATGAAATAAACGAGCTTTTGGAGAGAGTGCCTAATGTCAGGTACGATGAGGATCTGCCGCCTTCAACACTCCTGGTGCCTCTGGAGCGATAATATCAACTCCTGCTTACATGGTCTCGGAGCCTCCTCCCAGGCCTTGGTGGAGGCACCATGGTTTCAATCGATTGTCGGCAGATGCCTTGGTGAGTCGTGCTCGCCTGGAGCTATGCTGCGCTTTTCCTCTCCCGTGTGGCGCTTGAGGCGCCATTATTTTGGCCAATGCCTTGGTCATCGGCCTGGAAACGGACCAAGTGAAGGAGTACGATTGGCCGCATCCCCTGTCTGTTGCTGGCTCGTCAGCTGTGGCATCATGCGGTCTCGAGGTTATTCCCGATTCTTGAGGCCAGATCGAGACATCTCTGAAAGCCTAGCCTTGGATCTGGGCTCTGCCAGGACACCTTTCTTTCGCTATTCGCCGTCGAACTTTGCATGAGGCAGGCGACAGACAAGAACAGGATTTCGAGTGAGACGACTGATGCATCGGCTGCCTTGGCTGCCTTCGCAGGCTTTGTGCCTACGGCATCTTGGGCTTCTTCAGTGCCACCGGATCGGTGGCCCTGCCCTGTTCACTCGGTAGCTCTTTGGATGCGTGGTGGTGTTGTTCTTGGAGCATGGTTCCATCTGAAATGCCACAAGCTTGCAAGCATTGTGCCTGGCCAGGACGGCGTATGGAATGTCCATGTCTTATGCTGCTGTTGAGTTGCAAAATGTATCACAGCGCTGCGCAGTGTGGCGCCACAGAACCGACTCGCTGCTCAGCTAGGCCTTCGATTTCACGCTGGTCTTCTTGGGGGTGGCTGTCCCGGACCGCCCCTGTCGGCGTGAGTTTGAATTGCTCTGTGCTCAGGTGATAGATCGAGGATTGTCTTTGGTCAATCGGCTGAAGCAAGGCTCGGACCCGGCCTTTCTTCAGACTCCCGTGATCTCGCGGAAGCCAAGTTGTAGTCTGCGCTTGACGCGGTGAAGGGCCGCAGCTGTACATCGTGCTCATGCGGGTGTTCAGGCCAGTCTTCTTGTTGGGTTTATAATATAATATAATTAAAATAGCATAATGTAAGATAACATAATATAGTATAATATAATATAATATAATATAATATAATATAATATAACTGTAGGCACCTTTCTGATCTCGTCCTCCCGAGCCAGGCTGCTTCGGATTCTCCGGATTTTCCGCATCTTCCGGGTTATGAGACAGACGCGGCCTCACCAAACTTGGGGCCCGCTGCTTCCGGCCTTTAGGAGTCTGGGAGTCAACAGCCTTAACCTCAGGCTGCACATACTGGCATCTAGCCTGTTTGATGCGGTTCAATCCGTCTTTTGGGCTCGACGCTCAGACTGGCCGAGCTTTCTGGGAGCGTCATGAGAGATTCCGAAGGTCAGTGTGATTTGTGTCCTGATCTTGTACATCTGTGCTATCGTCCTCACCAGGCCCGTCAGTCCTGCCTTGCTTGTTGGGGCACCAGCAGTTCTGGTGCCGCCCCAGAGGCTTGTGGGCCATCCGCTCGATGGCGACCCGCTGGCTGCACGGCAGCAAGAGGCGCTGCCGGTCTCGGGCCGCTCCTCCCGACCTTGAGCTGCAGGCGCTGGTAAAGCAAGAGTACTTCGGTCTGCTCCCTGAGATCACGCAGTTCAGATCTCTTTGTCAAGGATTCTGATGTCGTCTTCCTGGGCACCCTGAGGCTCTCTCGGCTCGTCGATGCTGACACTGTTCGAGCTGATGGCATTTCCGAACATGGTCCCAGACTCGGAGAAGAAGCTTTTTGCTTCTCAGACCGGCACGGGACGTTGTTCCACTTTCGCCACGCCCCAGGAGCGTTTCCAGCCTGCCGGGCCCCAAGAGTCTCTCGTGCGAGCGACGTTTTGGTTCCAGGCGGAAGTTCTTCTAGTGGTGTACAGGTCTATGCCGACAATCCGTCTCTAAAGACTTTCCTGGTGATCTTCGTCATTTTCGGGGCCTTCATGATGGCTGATCTCGCAAGTTTGTTAGCTGAAGCCTCCTTCAGAAAAATGCCACATGCCCGTCTGCCAGGCCAGTATTCTCACTGGTGTCATCACCGAGGGTATGGTGGAAAAAAGTCGCATGCGACAGGCGGCGCTAGTCTCATACGGGTAGTTTGAAAATCTTCTCGGCATGAGTTTGGGCAGGAGGAACGGCGGTTTGAAAGAGAAACGGCCGGTGGCTTAGTGCCCTCCGTGCTTGTTGCCCAGCCGCTCTCCTCCTTTCAGGCGCGAGCGGTCTTCATCCGAATGTGTCGCAGGGTGCTTCAGGACCTCGCGGCACTCTGGATCAGCCTGGCCAGTGGGGTGTGACGTGGTGACCGCGATTTGAACAGGACCACAGCGGTGCCGACGCGAATTACATCGACAAGTCCCAGTTCGAAAAGTGCAAGGACAAGGCGCGGAGGCAGAGTGAGAGTGGACATGCGAGGCCGAGGAAATCTTAGCAGGAAGCTTCCTTGGAGCATTGATCTGCCAGGTCTTATCTCTCTGCGAGGTGGATGCCACACCCCTCCGGGAGAAGGCCCTGGCCTAGAGGGCGGCTCTGAGGCTTTTGGGCCCTTGCATTTGTGGGGGAAGTTTCACCCGGGAGGATCTGGAGGCCATTTTCAGCCTCGTGGACTACGATGATTCGGGCATCGTTGAGATCGAGGCGCTTTGTGCCAAGCGTTTCGGAGGACGTGGGTTCGCTCCTTTTGGCCCCTCTGTTCAGGAGCTCCTGTACGGGATGGTGCAAGTCTCCGCCGAGCTCCGTCCCATGCGCGAGCCCCGGGAAGGTGCGTCGCCAGCCGAATATGCTCGGGACCCCCAAACCTTGGCTAAATGCCCTAATTGAGCCTAAATCCGCAAGCCTTTTTTGAGGTCCATACTGGAGCTTCGGCGGAGCTTTGCCAGGAGCTTACAGCTTCTCAAGTTGCGAAGCTCAATCTTGGTCTCAGAAATGAAAAAGCCCCACCATGCGGTTGTTTTGCAAGAGGGCTCCGATATTTCCGGCCTCTGAGACTCCCCTTCATGCAATCCCCCCGAGACTGTCAAGGCCCGCGGCTTGAATGCGGTGAGCCAACAGGCTGGGGGCTCCCGGCTCCTGTTTCTGCTTCGCTGCGCAAGCCCACAGCCGAGGTCTTCTAGATGAAACGGCATCAGATGATTGATATGACACACTCGGATCTTTTCGTTCCAGTCAGTGGTCCTCGGAGTCGTAGTCAGTCAGATGTTGACTTCTTCTTCCAGGGCTCGCAGCCGTTTAGGCGGATCAAGCTCGTGTAAATCTCGTCACGAGCCTGTTTGTTGAGTGCGATTCAGTGAGTCTGAGATTCTCTGCGTGCTCTCCAGGTGAACCTGCTGGACTCCCGGTTGCAGATGATGGATGCACGCTTACAGGAGGCCTGGCTTGGCGCCGAAGCATCCTTGCTGCTTTTTGCGTGCCTTGCCCTCGGAGACAGGCCTTGGCGAAGCCAAAGATGGATGCAAACCTGTAGCACAACCTGCCCCACAGATGAGCTGTGGTGTTTTGCTCCTTTTGCTTGCCAAAGGATGTCCCATGCATGTTGAGGCTGTAAAATCGTATGAATGACATCTGCGGAAGGCTGGGATTCCTTTGCCAACTTGCCACCAGACCATGATGTAACAGCTGTACAAAGATTGCAGCCGCTTTCGCCCAAAAAGAGCACCCGTACGCGGTCTGGAGAGATCTGCATTCACTGCATTCCTTTCGACTACTTTCGTTTTCTTTCGAGCCCGAAGTACTCACAGCTCGTCCTGGCCAGATGTCTCGCTGGTGGGTGGCACTTTCGGTTTTCATTGTTGCCAAAGATGGGACTCGTGGCTGATGCCCTGGTCACCCTTGTGATGCTTCATCCTTCCGGCTTTGAAAGATGCAGTGGTTGTTAAAAACCGGGTTTGGTGGTGGGGATGGTGGTCAACATTGAGGCAGCACCATGAATCTTTGTCCCCAGACAGGGCAATTGCTTTGTAGATGTGGCTTATGACCGGACATCCTCAGCCTCAAAAAGTGACGTCACCGTGATTTGGCACCTCCAAAAGTGATGTCAAAGTGATTGGAGGCTTGCAAGAGTGATTTCGAAGTGATTAAGGGAGTTGCATGTTGGATCTCCGAGGTTTTGCATACCCTTAAAGGATTCACTACGGCTTGCTTTAAGGATAGTGGCTCTATTGGAAACGTGCGTGCAACCCCCTTCAGATCACTTTGATTTCACTTCTTGCCCGGCCATCTTTCACCTTTATCCATACTTTTATCCGTTTTCCAAATACCTTTCAAACTGTTTGTTGAACACTTTTCAGGACACTTGAAATCAGCTTTCCGGGATCCGGGTTTCGGCAATCACTTTTGCTTGCAGATCACCTTAAAAATAAAACAATGTTTGACACTTTCTAATGGTTGCCTGACGCCGGGCGTCCCAACCCTACTGGCTTCAAACATCTCGTAGCAAAGTAATGATCGCATGCGACATGGAATACAGCATAATCTCAAACCAGAACTTGGTCGAGTGTCAAGGTGAGACTTTCTGGAAGGGCGGCAAGAAGTTCTATGTCATGATAAAGCGCGGACGGCGGCTTTAAATAAGGATGTCGACATTGATCTGCAGCCATGTATCGGTAGATGGTGGCCCAGACCACGTGACAGTGACCTTTCACACCGTTATTGACTAGAGTCTAAAGAGATACAGTGGAATCACCCAGAAAAGCAACATGAGTCAAGGTGACAGAGCCCTGCGCCATTTTCAGGGTTTTAGACGTCTCCGATGCCAACGCCATCGCAGTTTCCAGCGCTTCAGCCATCTGAGCTACAGGCAACACCAACTCAAGAAGAGAGAGCCTTCCGTGAGCGTCTCTTCGCCGAGAGGACCGGCTCCGGTTGGCGAAGACGCAGTTTGACGAAAATGTGGAGACGCTCCACGAGGAGTTCGAACGTGCCGTGCATACATGTGCAAGTTGATTGCACAGGGCTTCACACAGTTCGCGCATGTCTTCCGATCACCGGAGCCGAGTGGGGCCAAATGTGAGCCGCCAAGGCGTGCTCTCACAGGCGCATGAGTGCGTGAGGTTCTTTGACACTGCGGTTGCCGCCTCAGCTGCGGTTTTCACGCGAGTGTCCCTTCGGCTTTCTCTCCAAATGATGGCTGACGCTGTGCCCTTTCAACCGAGGCTCGCGATGCCCTTAGCGCCAACGTGGATGATCCTTCTTGTGGTACATCCCTTCGAAACTATGGCGATGCGAATGTGAAGGATACTGCTCACAAAGTGGCTTGCCCAGGATGGTGTGCAACACAGCCAGTAGAAGTAACCAGTGGTCACTGCTGTCGGGCTCACAACGCAAAACGATGGAGAATAGACTGGTGCAGCGGTCAGAATCTCCGTTTCAGAGTTTCGAAAGACCTCCAAACCCACGGCGGCGGCTTGTAGGGCATGATCGCTCTGTCCAGATGTGCGGTTTCTTCCACGCGTGAGCATTCGGTGCTGGGCAGTCGAAGTCGGTGGCCCGTGGTTGAATTCCAAAGACCGCTCAGCGGTACTCGTAGTCGTCGTAGTCCGCAGTGTGCTGATGTCGCCGTCATAGATGTCCCCCTGCATGCTAGACTCCTAGACCACACAAAGTGTGCCGTGCGCCAGCCCGCATGTACTGTGGTTGCAGTGTTTTTGGGCCTTCAACCTTTGCCCGAAATGGTCACAGGGTTGACCTTGCCTTAACCTCTTGATGATCCCGGGAATGCTTTCCAGCGATGATGTGACGTGTTCCGACATATTTAGGTATAAGCCACGCAAAAGCAGTATTTTGTGGTCAGTGACGCCAAACCAGACCGAAAGCATGTCGCCCTTCAGTTTTCCGTGCAGCCTGCTATTCAGGCCGAAGGCTGTCGCTGCTTTCAACCGCAGCAAAAAGTTTGCAAAGCTAATGCCAGGGAGTCTGCTACGCCCCTCCCGCACGTTTGCGACGATACTCTGGACGACCGACCCGGCTCCCGCACCGGCAGGAAGCCTGCAAGTCACCCAGGTCCGTCCGCCAAAGGAGCGGAACCTACGGACTACTCGCGTGGCTGGCAACGCCGCGCTGCTCGAGCCTGTGAGGAACGGGCGCTTGAGTGGCATCTCTCAGACTTTTTGCCTTCGTCTCGCGCCTTGTTGCTCCCCTAGGCCGTGCCTCATGGCGGGGCATCACCTCCTGGACGCCGCAGTGGCTTTGCATGCGGTGCCAGAGCGTGCTGCCAGCTCCACGCGTCCAGCCGCTTGGACCGCCCCGTGTTGTCACCTTTGCCTGACGCTTATGTCGTGGGAGGTCGACCTCGCATCGTTGACCGAACCTTGGGTTTACTCTCGATGCCCGTTTGCTCACATGCCGCGGCCACTTGCCTTGGGGCTCGAACCCCCTTCTGCACCACGCGCGCCAGCAGCTCCGCCTTGTCACCAGTGTTGCCTGGGCTCGCACGGCCTGTCGTGACCACCGGCGCGAGGAAGCCTGCGAACGCGCCGCTTCCCGTCACCGCACATACTGTGCGCTGGCCACATCAGCCAAGTGTTCAACCCCTCGTCGCTGCGCCTCTTCCAGTCGCTCCGCTGTTTCAGGGAGTGCGCCTCATTACAGCAAGTGCAAGTCACCTCACGCCAAAGCGGCGGCCGGCGTCGAAGCGTCGGTGCGCAGCAAGTGATCTCCACGCGGGATAGCACACAGAGCCAGCACATTGCAAGTCCGGCAGCAGGCGGATTTCCTGCGGCCCTCTCTTTCAGGCACACGTCCGTGTGCGACGCAACGTAGGTCGGGTGGCCACGGAATGGGCGTGCCAAGGGCGAGAAATCACCGCTCGGCTTCAGGAGCGTTCCCGGTCCAGACCCCTTCGCTGCGCTCAGCAATGCTCGCGCAGGACCGGCTATAAGCGCGGTCACGACGCCGAGCGCTTCCCGCGTGCGAGCGGGCGTGGTCACAACGTAGACATCGTCCAGGAAAGCCGCCAAGCACATTCAGCCGGCTGCAGGCGCTCGTCGGCTGCAACGAGGGCATCGCGTTGGCCGAGCGCATACAAGGTTGGGGCCAACGCATCGCCCTGCTCGTAGCCTTCACCTTGGTGGATGCTCCGCCGGGCGCCGGAAGCGACCCGCCAGTAGTTAGTAGGTGGACTCCTGTCCGTACCACAGCCGGAGGAACGGCACCAAGGCCGGGGCGACCTCGCGCAGTTTGCGCTTGTGCGTGAGATGGTGTTGTAAGCACAGCGGCCATCAAGTGAGACGGCATCAAGGTCGATGGCAGCGCGCAGCGTGCCAGACAGAGCATCAGTGCCGGCGAGTGTCTGGAGGGTGAACTGGTAGGGGCGGGGTGGTGCGTCTTAAACGTGTCGGCATCGTGGCGTCCCAGGCCGCGTGACACAAGCCTGGAAAGTGTCGCCAGTAGCGATCCCTCGTACGCCGGCGCAGGGCCTACGCAACGCTGCAAGGCGCGAAACAGCAAGTGCAACAGCGATGTTGGCAGGGATTTGGGCTGAAGCGAGCAAGTTGGCGCCGTGCGCGAACCGCTCAAGAGCTTCAGCGTCGTCGAGCAGAACTTTGTAATAGTAATAATAGTGTTCGCACGTTGCGCCTGAGAGGCCGGCAACGGTGCCACGCCTGGAGGACCCACTCGGGTTGGAGGTCACGCACATTTGCGGGCTTGCGGTATGCCGGGCCGCAAAAAGGCCGGGCATGGTGGGCAGACGAACCGCCAACTCAGCATGCAAGTCGACGGCATCGAGTTGTGCTCACGCGGCCGCAGGGACCGTTGTCGCAGCGTATACAGCGGGGTCCTCCGAGTCAGCGTTGACGGCAGTGCTCGGGGCTGGTGCAAGCCGTTCCGCTGCGTTAGGGTCTTCACCATGCAACAACGCAAGGCCGGCCCCGAAGGCGTCTGCGCATCATCGCGCAGGCAATTTCCAGTAACGCGGCCTGTAGCTTCGACGCCGGCCGCCGCTTTGGCCGGTGCAGAAGGCACCCGTCTGAGGCTGTCGACCGAACGTTCGAGCTCTGCGTCGGCCCCTGCTGCCTACGGGGCAGGCGCGACATGGCGCGACCGGGGGGGCGCCGCTGCCAAGGCTAGTCGCGTGTCGGCGAGGACCTCATGGACCCATGCAGCTCCTGCACGGGTCCGTCGCGGGCCTCTGCGAGCGGCAGCTCAAGCAAAGAGGCGGCATAGGCGCGCTAGGTAGCGACTGCAGGGAAGGCCTGAAGGCGGTGGGGACGGTGCCGTGCGCAACGGAGAGCACGCCCGCAGCATCCAGCAGGAGCGGGGTCTGCACGGTGGAATTCGTGCTAGCGAACGGCAGCAGCAGTGAGTCGTGAGTGCTTCGGCCTCGGCATACTGGACCAGGCCTTGGGGCTCCACTGTGTCTGCGGCCACGGGTGACAGCGCGTCCGCGCGCCGGTGGTCACGAGGGGCCGTGAGATTCCAGGCGGCATTGGCGAAAAGTGGAGCTGTTCGGGTGCTAGGGCCAGGCCAGTGCCAACAGACGCGCATGGTGCAAAAGGGGGTCGGGCCCCAAGGCAAATGCCCGCCCAGCTCGAAGTGGCATGCTGAGCTAGGCAGAAAAGTGCCGGCATTAGCGGATCTCCTTGCTTGCTTCCGTGTTGCGTCACGTCATTTTGCGAGCTGTTGTCCTCAAGCCAAGAGTATATGCTAGCACTGCAACAACACTGGTGTGCAGAAGGTGGGAGTGGGGCGAGGGCCGCACAAGACCGGAGACTTTCCAGCATCGTCCGGGTCGACATGGCCCCCTTGATTGTTGCACGATGATTCACGCACGACCTGGCTAGGCTTCGAGCTCAGCCAGCCGGAGGACGGCGCAGACGCAGCACCAGCAAAGCGTCGGATTGGAGCGCCGAATCCCCGAGATCTTGGTCATCGGGCTTGCCCAGCAGCTAGGTCGCGCACGCACCGCCATACCATCGTCATGGCCGCGTGCGCAGCAAGTGACCTTCATGCCAGGAGGCAGCACGCATGGCGAAGATGAGCCACGCACATTGCAAGTCCGGTAACACGCGGAGTTCCTGCGGCAGTCGTGCCTCATCCTCCAGATGTCACACCACATCCCAGCTTCCCCCGCGACCGTGTTCCGGCAGCTCAGGCTGTGGCCCAAGACCCCCGCTTCGCCCAGAGCATGTACCCCGGCGCCTCCGCGGCATGCATCGGCATGCGAGCAAACGGGCATCGACAGCAAACATTCGGCTTGCGTGGCGAGGTCGACCTCCCACGACATGAGCATTACGCCATGGTGACACACAACACGAGGGCGGTCCAAGCGGCTGGATAAGCGCAGCTGGCAGCGTTTTGGCAACGCATGCTAAACCACTGCGGCATCCAGGAAGCGATGCCTTTGTAGTTGCACTGGCCTGCCGCAGCGCCTCAACTCCTGAAACCACCGCCCCCGTGTGCCTGCGGCCCCAAAACGGAACCTTGCACAGGGACCTCGTTGGATCGTCCTCACACTGTTGCAAAGAGGTGTGTTGACGAAAGAATGGGGGTTGCCGCTAAGGCGCGTTCAGCCGGTCCCGCGCCCGCCAGCATTGCTGAGCTCGGCGAGAGGGTCAGGGCGCTCCTGAAACCGAGCGGGGGTTTCTCACATTCGGCACGCACATGTTGTGGCCACCGACCTACGTCGCCTCGCGCACGGACGCGCGCCTGATGGCTGAGGGCCGACCGCTGCAGGAATTCCCTCAGCTGCCGGAGTTGCAATGTGCTGGCTCATTCTTGCGTGGAGATGACTTGCTGCGCACCCTGACTCCCGAACTTTCTGCACCGTACGCACGCGGCAATGACGACGCAGTATTGAAAATTATTGAACCATGTGCTTACATCCTAGCCTCTTGTGGTGGTCTAGAATGAGATGGCTTGGGAAACCAGCAATCTCAATACCCCAAACCCTGAGTCCGAAACCGGATACCCAAAACTTTATGAACCCCAAATCCTAGGCTAAGAACCCAAAACCCAGTACCCGAAACCCTAAACAAGAAACAAAAACCAAACCCCACTCCATACCTAAAGCTACACTCTGCCTTTCATAACAACCCTGAACCTCTAACCCCTGTCGATGTTCCTTCGACCATGAACATATGTCTATACCACTGACACATCAAATTAAAATATTCTGTTGGTGGACCTTCTGCTCGCCTTCACTGCGTGCATGCTTCTCGGGTTGTGTTGTGTCGGGGATGCTTGTTTCCGTCTCGGAGGCCTGCCTATCGGTGGGCTTCTGAGCAATGTGGCTGCCAGTCTGGTGCTTGGCCTCGAAGAAGAAGCATTGGCTCACAACGCTGCTTTGCGAAGTCATTTTGGCTACACTGCCATTTTTTCGGATTGGAAGTGGTTTGTGCTCGGTATGTGGATGAAGTGATCTGGGCCTCAGGGGTTTACTGCAAAAACTGTCTGTTGCGTGGCCTTGACCTCG